TAGTCATCATGTTGGGTCTGATGAGAGACAGCCACTCCTTCCCACTTAAATTTTTCTTAAAGAGTATGTGACGAGACCTTTTACATTTCTGTAAATTGTATGTCTGCTACCGTGCTACATTTGCATTCATAGAGAAAAATCATATTTTTATTATTTTTACTGTGTTGCATTAATGAATTTCTCTTCGTATAAATGCTCTCTGTCGAAATTATTTCTTATTCAAAGTACATAGTCTAGCTCTATTTCATTTACAACAATTGTTTCCCATTTTATTAATGTTTTTTCTTTTGCTTCCTGCTAAAAAAAAATTGACATATTAAAGAAATTCTTTTGCAGGAAATTTCTTTGAAGGAATTCTTTAGGCTGGAGTGTTAAACAGTATAGGAGACAAACCTAAAAAGAGATTCAAGGTTTATGATTTTGAGATCCCTTCCATTTTTCTTGGACCATCCAGAATTTCCTGCTGGATATTCTTTAGAGAGATAATGACAATGCAGAAGATGTGGCGGCCAGATTCTCCTATTCCTGCCTTCCCAGCATAGAATGTGTTACCATTGTTACTTCTATTCTTTATCTTAGACCAGGAGTGGATTTTCTTATTTTGTCGAAAATAGTGTTTTCCATATTTCTTATATAGGTTTAGAAATACCTTTCATCCTTATATGGGAGACCATTACTCCTTATACCCAATGCTATTTAACTGTAGTGACCGATAATCTGAATATTCAACAGTGCAATCGAAGATTTGAAAGAAAAATTGATTGTGCCATTGTTGTTTTATGTAAGTTTTATACTGGAATTTGTCTGGCCAGTGAAAAACATCAACCGCATGATCAGAGGGCTCAAGTCGAATTGCAAACAATATTTCTTTAAAAAAAAAAAAAAGCTTAGTATTTATCTGAAATATATTCTGATTGATCCTTGGAAACCAAATGCAAGAAACTAACAAAAAATTGACAACATTTCAACGAAGTTTTTGAGTTTTCAACTAGTAAGCTGTTCATTATCAACCCACTATGCACATCTATACATATATTTAGGTGGTCCTAACTAGCATCTTGCCTGTAAATCCCTCTTGGAACGCGTCAAGTATCTTCTTCTCTCTGCAGAGATAGCAGGAAGGCTACAAACAAGTATCATATTTGATGCGTCATCCTCTCCTGATAGGGTTGTTCCACCAATCCCTCTTGAAGCATTTCCACTCGCTATTCCACCTAGTTGGCTTCTACTGATCTTCAATACTGAAACATGGGCATTAGTTCCCCTCTGGATGTAAGCTTTTGCTGGATTCTCAGCCAGCTTACTTTTGTGATTCTCCTCAGACTTGTTCTCAATGATATCTGATGTTTGAGCACCATTTACATGCCTTACAGAGGATCTTGATGAAAGTTCTCTAAGATCCTCTCCAGAATGATTGTTAGTAGCAGTGCCTGAAGTTAGAAGGCAAGACCTGTTTTTGAGCTCAACAGAAGATATTGGCGGGAGATCCTCTCCCAGCTTGTTTTCAAGATTGTCTGAATTCTTATGCTTCATAGAAGATTTAGCTGATAGGTTGTTTTCTTGCTTATTCCAAAGATTCTTCAACCTACTCATGCTACGGGTGGTAACACCTCTGCTGGGGGAAAGGACATTTGCAGCAATTTTTGACCGACCATTAATCTGAACTTCATCTGTTCTAGCACTCCTTTGATCCAAGACACCATCATTACCTCTGAAAGTCTTACTAACCTTCATCTTCTTATGAGTAGTCGAATTTTCACCATCAACAAAACTTACAGTACTGGTTTGACCTTTGTTTTCCCTGTTCAAATACTCTGAGATAGGAGAAGAGTGCACGGAGACACAATTATTGCTATTTTCCAGCAAATCATCCAAAATAGTCTTTATCAGATTAGAACCTTCAGAAGGTGCGAACATTAAAAGATCATGTATCCTACTTGCGGGTTGATCACGTAAAGAAGCTGGCAGGGGAGAACTCCTGTTGAACACACCAGAACTTTGTTTTTGGGTACCTCTAGCAGCAGATTCTTCATTATAATTCCGAGCTGCATATTCTTCCCAATAGTATGGAAATCCTAAAAGGAAATGCCTGCAAACCTGCAAGAATAACTGCCTGAGAGTATGGAGTATGGACTCCTAAATGAAATAGAAAAATCCATGGATGATGGACGTCAAACTCTATTTCCTCTATTTGCATGATGCATATCCATTTTCATTATCAGATTCTGTTTAAAGGAAAATGCTAGTACACAATGCAGGACATGAAACACCCACATAGAGAAATAACATCATCTTGTTACTACTACACATTACATACCTCAAGAGGAAAGCCATTTTGATGTGAACGAGACCTATTTATCAAACCACTGACAGTAATTTTTGTTCCATCTATTGTCTCTAGAGTGGTGGCATTATGTCGCTTGGCAATCACAGCAGAGCGGATTACCCTAACCCGTTTTCTCCTACACAAGAAAACCATAAAAGACATGAAACACAGAACCAAAAACCTATCTCATACAAACATCAAATTCTGCAAATCTAACATTTCTAGCTATTAATATAACAAAGGATAATGCAAATATTTCTTAAAAATTGAATCTTCTGATTGTACCCTAAATTTCTGAATTATAGAAATCAACAAACAAAACACAAATGAATGGGAAAAAGGCTCTACTATAGGAGATCAATTCATCATCTTCATCATGCCAGATTCTAATTCCACAGAAATTAGAAATAGAATTCTCAAAATTACTTAGAATCTTTCAAACAGTGAAATTCCAAATGAGTAATAACAAAGAAACTGTATCGTTTTCGGTTTACCCTATGGATTCAAATCCTTCGACAGCTAAACCCTTTGCCGGTGCCGGAGACAGCCACCAATCATATAACCAGACCTTTACAGAGAAAATTGAGAGTTGATACAGATGATGGAAATATAAGATGAAGTTTGTCGAAAATAAGGAGAGAAACAAAACTTACAGACTTGATGGACAAATCAGAGAGAGAAGTGGCGGAGGAGGAGGCGGCGGCGGTGGGTGTCCTTGGGGTGGTTACTGGCGTCGGAGTAACCGGATCGTTTGCATTGAGAGAATTTCTCGTCCTCTTGTTCGCCATTTCGGATTTTTGGCGGGAATTAGCGCCGAGCGACGACTGAGGAACTTTAGAGCCGATTGGGTAGGGTTCCACGGGGTAGAGGACGGGATCCAGGACTGGGCCGACTCCGTCGAGGCCCAAATAGTTATTTCTAAAGTTCGTTCTAGTTGAAGATTGTAACGGGTCGCGTACCTCTAAAAGGATCAATCGTCCATATTAGTTTAATTAATGCATTTTTAAGAAAATTAAATTTTCTCTAGTGATTAACATTTCATTCTTTAAATAGGTGCAAATAAAAATTTTTTTTGGGGGTAAATAAAAATAATTGTTTGATGAGGCAAAAGAAAAAGATTTTAAAAAATTTGAAATAAGTATTTATTCATTTTAATAAAAAAAATTAAAATATTATAAAAAAATAATTAAAATACTTCAATTTATATTTTAAAAATAAAATATTTAAGTTTTTTTAATAAAATATATTAAAATAATATAATTTTTCCTTAATCTTTAAAATGTAAGATAAATAAATATTATTTAAAAAAAATTTTCAAGAGCAACCAATTTTGTATTTATAAATCCTAATGGGTTGGGTCACATATTAACTCTTAATCAAAAGCATAAGTGATTGCAAGACCAGGCTCAAAAGTCTAATAATCTGGCCCAGTGAGTGAGCCAGACAGCGCCACAGGCTCAAGCAATAACCATTTTCAGTACCACAACAACATTAATTTTTGAATGCAAAAATCATGCAATAAAACATTGCATTTTTTTTCATCTTCCTTTTCCCCACTACAAGCAGCTGTTGGGCTGAACCAAACCAGAAGCAGTTCCGGCAGCATTGGCACAAGAAGCTTCAGCTCTCTGGTTTTTGTAAGTCAGCTGCACATTCTCCAACGTTATCCCTGTACATGGATATTCTGAGCTACAATCGAATTTAACCGCAACTTTTGTGGCTGACGATCCACTAACATTGTTGTATGTTACATCACTCACTTGAATCCCAGAAACCTGTAAGAATCGAACCCATATTAGAACTTTACCAACAGAAATAATATCAATCAACAAAGCATTGATTTAGTGGTTAAAGACATGTTGAGGTTCTAAGAGGTCCCATGAATTCGTACCTGACCAGGACAATCTTGGTTGTTCGGACAATAATTTTGATCAATGACTATAGGATTTTGGACATTATTCATGATGCCGTGTTGGAAAAGAATGTTCTGGGCAAAACCGGTACTGGGCCTCGCCCACGATTTGATCCTGAACCCATTTTGTGTACCGGAAAATGTTGCTCTTCTAACTGTCACGTTCTGGACTCCGTCCTCGTTCGCGCTCTTCCCCAGACTTCCGATGCTGACCCCATGACCAGGCCCGCATGCGATGTTCTCGATCCACAAATTCTGGGTTCCGGGCCCGATGGAGACGCAGTCATCACCTGTTCCTACCCTGGAGTTGAGCACGGTGACATTGGTCGAGAACTGGATGTGGATGCCGTCGGTGTTGGGGCTGGTGCCGGCGGCGCTGAGCCTTATGCCGTGCATTGTCACGTTCTGGCAGCCGTTGAATACGATGTGGTACAATTGGCTGTTCAGCGAGGTTAAGCCATTTACGACGACGTTTTTAGAATTGGTAAAGGCCAATGTCTGCATCCACACACATAACAAAAATGAATAACCAGTACCCCACCAATTAATTAAATCATCAAGAAATTAGGCAAGTAAGTACTGTACTTATTAATTTGAAACTTTAATTAAAGATTAAGGGTTTTTTTTTTTTTTTGTAATGAAAGAGATTTAAGTTAAAAGTTTAAACTTTTACAAAATTAAACAACTAATTTCTAATATATTAACTAAAAGTTATAAAATAGAAGTAATTAATAGTTTTGAGTTAAGTAGTTAAAAATCTAGAAATTGAACCCCAGAGTATCGTATTGGTGGGTTTTTCCGTTTAAGTTTTTGATGGTATGTATATTAATAGTTTGTTTAATAGTATGTTCAATTTTAAAAAAATAGAGAAAAGTCTATTTAATAAATTATATTATATTTTTTAAAAATATTATAATTTGATTAATAAAAGAAATTCTCACCTCCTCTCTTATTCTTTCAATTCCCTTCAAATTAAATATACTATAAATGGCTCTAATGTATATGATATACATTTCTTTCTTTAAAAAAAATTAATTAATTAAAAAAGAAAAAAAAAGACATATTCACATAAAAGATGTAAAAAATATCTAATATTAATTATAAAATAGTATATAAGTACACTTGAATTATATATATTATAAATCATATAGTAAAATTTAAATATCTTAATATTTTTAATATAAAACACCTTAATATTTACTTTTCTCTATTAATTATAACAGAAATGGTTTCACTATCTATTCTGAATTTGTCTTTAAAAAAATCAATTTTGAGTATGAAAAGACAAAAATCTCATTAATGAATGAGAGATGCACCGAGATTTGTTAATGATAATTCTGCCTTTTCATACCCAAAACTTGATGATTTTTTTATTCAGGGACGTAAAAAACTGCTCTCTACCCATATTAATATACTAGGGCTACTTGAAAGCTGACAAAATGGTTACTGTTTGAAGTGAAACTGAAAGTCTGTAACCGCAACATCCACGGGACCCTTCTTAGTTTTTAAGTTCTAATTAATTTGAAAAAACGTAACAGATGAAGGAACATAATTACCCTCAGTAAAACCACCAATTTTGGTTCTTAGCTCATATAGTTAAGGCCAGTGTTGTCATTTCAGCTTACCGTAGCTCCGCTGGGGCAACTCTTCCCGGACGTCTTACAAGCCCACAACGATGAACCTTGGCCGTCAAGGACCCCGCCGACGATGGAAACCCCATTGACAGACTCAAAGGAAAGCCAGTACCCGGTATTCCCGAGAACATTATAGTCTCCGGGAGCCACCAGCGTCCCCTTAATTGTTATGGTGATGTCACTGCTCTTGCACGACCCACCATTAAACACCATGTTGCTGCCAACCAGGAATCTTCCACCGGGAACGATAATGGTTGCAGCCTCTATAGAGCCGCAAGCGGCAATCCACGCTGCATTAAATGCATTGGTGGTGTCAGTTACGCCGTCAGCTTTTGCACCATAAGTTATCACATTGTATGTCCCTGCGAAGGATGAGTTGAAAGAGAGGAAGAAGAGAAGTGCAAGGACAAGAGTAGGTCTCATGGCGTTGGCCATTTTTGTGTGATTTTATCTAGTGTTGGGTAGACGAAAAGGAGTAGTGATGGGAGTTGAAACGGTTTGAAGGGGAATTTGTAGATTTTAATCGATGTTTGCGGTGGATTTTGAGAAACGAGAATGTTTGGTTTAATTGTAATTTTTGTTAAAAGTAGTGTCTCGGTATAAAATTTTTATTGAAAATTATGAATTCATATAAAATAATTACAGAAATATAAAAATAAAAACATTCTAATGCTCAGGATGTCCATTATAACTATTTATGAGTGAATTTTACTCTTGAAACCTACTCAATGAATGACTGTGATAAATTTGAACGTCAAGAAGTTTTGGTTTTTTATACTTTCAAATAATTATATAAAAAAAGTGAAAAATTTTATTAAAACATCAAATTTCATAGGCTTAACTAAAAAAAAGAATAATGAGAAATGAGATTAAAATTTGTAACCAATGACATAGCATAAATCATGTTATTTAAAATAAAATGTAAACTCTATTTTATTTAATCATTAATTCTTTTTATTTTTTAAAAATCAATGATATTATATATATATATATCAATTAATTTAATCATGTAACTTATGTCACATCATTAATTCTAAATTTTTGTTCCAAATTTTCGTCTCCTATCATTGCTCCTAAAAAAATTATAGTTCAAAAGTTTATATATAGCTTCAATTTATAGTATTTGAAAAACTAAAATCAACTTAACAAAAACCATAAGTGTTATTTAGGAAAACTACATTTTACCCAATTTTAGCTTTTGTATGAAAGATATCCTAGAAATGCTGGACTAAACAAGCACTAAATTTTTCTTTATAAAAAAGAAAAGGAAAAAAAAAAAACCGAAATCAAAAGTAAGACTAAAACGTTTTTAGAAAAACATCTTTTTTAAAAGATGTTTTTCTAAACTCTTGAGATTCTCTCTTATGTGACATGCATGAGACATGCATTTATGAATTTGGAATTTGGATGCTAATTCAGCTTAGAATATAGGAAAGTTTATGTATTTGACTCTCTACAACTCTTATTTATTAATGTCACAAAAAAATCCCATTAATGTATCACTTAGGTGCTTCAAATTATTTTTTTTCAGAGGCTATTGTTTCAACATGAGAAGCAAGTATTCTAAAATGAAATGGTCTAATTCCCAACTTTCCATTTGCATTCCTTATCAAAAACTTTGGTTTCTTTTTGCAAATGATGGTGAATAGATATGCAATTATAGAAAAGTACCCACTTTAACTATTGTGAGCATACTGCCATTCCTTACTCTAAATTAAGGTTACCTAACTAATAGAGATATTTAATGAGCAGAAAGCTTAGTATATATGGTTTGAAATTCTTAAGAAACCAATTTAGGGGCATAATTAAAAGATAAGAAACATTACAATGTGTTATTGAGGTACAAGATCGAGGACGATCAAGCTGAAAAAGTCCTTGTTTGTAATTTTTCTTAATGTCATTTTAGGAGGACTTATCTTTAACCAAATCAAATCAAAGAGGTTAGAATAGTGTGGCTAGCTTTAGTACACACATAATTGACTCAAGGTCATGAACTTTTTATATTAGGTTTGATATCAATAACAAATTCTTTGCAAATCATGTAGTTATAAGGTTGGCATTATCATGTTTCATTGTTGTTGTTGTTGTTTTTTTGCTCTTTTTTTTGTTTTTTGTTTTTTGTTTTTCTTTTTTCTTTTTTCTTTTTTAACCTTGAGTATGGTTAGATTGATTCGTTAAAACTAACTCAAATTGTAATTAGAAAAAGAACATCAAATGAGTTTAACCATTAATGTGACACAACAAATCCTCATCAATGGTCTATATACATGGTATTTCCAACATAATTACAAGCATTTTTTTCATGACTAGCTTTAGCCAGAAGTCGAGTACTAATTCCTCACTCTGTTATTAATTACAACCTAATTGATGTGAGGTTTAAATGGTGTGCTATTTAATTAAGTAGAGAATATTATGATGATGTTATTTATATTTATGTATAGGAGCAGCCAAAGATGGTGTAGTGAGGCAAAACAAACCTCATTAGGCAATTGAGTAACTGGACTCCAACCATACAATTAGATGTGTTCCTTTGATGGTCTACATATCATATATATCTGCACTCTAAAAATTTAGCCTTTCCCCTAATCCCCTTAAAAGACTCCTAGTCCAAAATCATGTATATTAATTTGTTAATAAAAAAAAAATTTACAATTTAAACTGTAAGATACTAATTATATTAGATTAGTAAAAACCCTCTAATAATAAATAAGGTCTCATCTAATAACTAATTTTTTACTGTTCAAATAATGAAAAAAGTATATTTATTTGTTGATAAAAGTTGAGTAGTTTTATTGCAGTTAATTTGTTCTCCGGTGGCAGAAACGTGGGGTTGGCGTGATAGCTGGAGCACAAAACGGAGACGAAATCGGCACTTCCCAATTTCCATTCTTTTCTGCTTTTTCTAAACCCACCTTTTTCTTTTTTTTTTTCTTTTTTCTTTTTTTGGGGTGTGTGTAAACAACACAACATTATCCATTCATTCTCAGATTTACTTCTTACAGTAACATTGCTTTCCACGAATTTTGGTTCCAACTGGCGCATCTCCCTCTCAGAAAAACACAAAATCCATCCCAACAAACATGTAGTTACTTTATTAGAAACCTCAAATCAGGTCAATGGAACATGGGACGATCATGCCACGCCGCAATCCGCAAGCTTCACGGCGCTGAACAAAATTAACAATATCTTCCCTAGTAGTCCTCTTCCCTAACCATGAAAATTTTTGATATCCCAAGTGCACACTGCATTTGATATCCCAAATTCATTGGTAGTGGTAGTATGGTAAGACTAATTGTATTAAAAGATATTTGGTAAATAGATACTATCTTTTTGAATTTAGACAGTTAATCATGTGAGACCTACACATAATCAATTATTTAAAAGTTTTAACATCTTATTTAATTTTTTACTTACTCAACTCAAGAATTATAATGCATATGTCACTATACAGTTTCATAAATTTAAAGTATTTATGATTGACAATTTCACTTGACAAAACATCAAAGTTGTATATTTTCACTAATTTAATGTTTATGATTGTTGCTTACATCTATTCATCTAAGGATAATTCCATATACCATAGGGCCCCAGAATGTTGTCAGCCTCACATGATGGCCTATATATTTTTTTTATGCAATTCTTTACATTTTTCCAAAAATATTCCTAACCGATCCAATGTTAGGACAGGGATGGTCTGACTTACAACAACATAAAAGCATTTTGTGTGTGTGTGTGTGTGTGTGTGTTGGTATATTTTTTGAATGCATAGTCGGCAGGGGCAGGGAGTCCCTGTTTCAGGCGGTTAATGGTAGTTGATGTATCAACATTTGTGGTTTTTGTTGGCCATCATTTTCTATTCGAACTCCTAATTAATTAAGTCATACCCAATTCATTGGATATCTTGATGTCATATCATTTCATTAATTCCAATTTCCCTTATTTTCATATAACTTTCTTTTATGTTCATGGAATTGTAAGCAATTTAGACCATCAGTATTTTGTAATTCT